TATCTTTAAAAACATTTAAAAACTGTACTTTTTCCATTCTGCCACCTATGAAGGCTTAAGTCAGTATAAAGACTGTTCTCAAGAAACAGAAGCCATAGCAATTTTCTTTTCTAATTTTGCAGCTCTCATTTATTGCTTCACAGTAGCCAAAAATAAATGCTATAAATTTGCAATTCCATGATCTCCCAGTGACAACCTGATAATTCTGTATTTCAAAGACAAAGTGAGGGCTTCCCTGGTGGCGCAGTGGTTGAGAGTCCGCCTGCCGATGCAGGAGACACGGGTTCATGCCCCGGTCCGGGAGGATCCCACATGCCGCAGGGCGGCTGGGCCCGTGAGCCATGGCCGCTGAGCCTGCGCGTCCGGAGCCTGTGCTCCGCAACGGGAGAGGCCACAACAGTGAGAGGCCCGCGTACAGCAAAAAAAAAAAAAAAGACAAAGTGGGATGTATGTTTCCAGTTCCCGTACTGGGACTGGAGTTGGGTTTGGGGTTGGGACGAGGAGATTAATTTGCTCTGATCCATTCACCTGCTCTTACCTAGTTCTTTTGAGACCTGTGGTACAAGAAGGGCTCTAACTCATACTGGTCCCTCTGCAAGGTGTTCTAGCCAACTCCGCTAACCAGTCTCCATCAATCCATCAAAATTCATCAATGCCTTATTTTGCCCTTAACTAAACATTTTATGTTTAGTCGTATGGATTTTTCAGTGAAAAAAAAGTCTGGTTATCTGTTAAAGCACTTAGTAATCTTCACCTGGATTTCTTCACTATTTAAAAAATATATATAAGGCATTGCATTCACTGAAGATGATTAAAAGTGTGAACGGAATGGGAAGTATAGGGGACACGTAAACTCTTCCCCATGCCATCCCTCCATCACTGTGCCTCCGCTCCCCCACTTCCTCTTAGCTGCCCTTTGAGACACCTCCCAAATGTCCTTTTCCCTGGGGAGGCTGTCTAGATGGGTCTCCGGTAGCACTGGGGGTTGCCTGTTCTAAGCTGCCATGTTGCTTTTTACACACATATAATTAAGCCCTCAGCACACTGGGTTTAATGATTTAATCATTAGAGCTGCGGTATCTCAACCATCTCTGTATCTGCAGTACCTCACAGCAAGACATTTTTATTACATGAATGAAAATGTTGTAAAGGCCCTACAAAGGCATTCCAGATATTTGAATCTCTGTAAATCCAAAGATATTCATACTCTAATCACTAATATGGTTCTTGATTGTTCTGTTTTGGAAAGGTGGCTTAAAACACAGTTTCAGCAGAAACAGACTCACAGATACAAAGAACATACTTATGGCTGCCAAGGGAGAGGTAGCGGGGGAAGGATGGATTAGGAGTTTGGGATTAGCAGATGCAAACTATTATATAGAGAATGGATAAACGACAAGGTCCTACTGTACAGCACAAGGAACTATACTCAATATCCTGTAATAAACCGTAATGAAAAAGAATGTATATGTATAACTGAATCACTTTGCTATACAGCAGAAATTAACACAACATTGTAAATCAACTATACTTCAATAAAATAAATTTAAAAAAATAAAATAAAATACAGTTTCAGGTTAGCAGAATGAGATTCCATTTTCCTGGTATTACTGTCCCTTGTGGCCAAATCATGTCATAAGAGAATAATCAAAGATAATGTAAATAGGTTGGGGCACAGTCCTTAGCCAGGGAAATTTGAACAGTAGTTTAATCGCTTTAAGCCTCAGTTTTCTCATCTGTGAAATGGGGATAAATAACTGTGACCTACTTCATCAAGTTGTATAAGTGTGAAAGTATTTGTAAAGCAGAGCACAGTCCATGACACATTATAAATGCTTAACGCACATAGCTAACATTATTAACAATATTTTTATTGGCTAAAGGCAATCCACAGCTTCTTGTATGCTTTGGAAAAGTCTCCAGTGAATACCTTTATTCTTTCATTCAACAAACATTTATTCAGAACCTAGTATATAACTCTTCAGTTATTCAACAAATAATTGGTACATACTAGGTGCTCTAAAAAAATAAGACATTGTTTCAGTCCTCAGGGAGCTTATAAGCAAGAAGGTCGATAAGGAAAGTACACAAATAACTGTCATGCAAGGAAGAAGGCAAAACAGACCATGTGACTGACTTACAAGGCTAACTACGTCAGTCCTGCAGCCAGCAGTGCTCGCAAGAGACAAGGGCCAAGCATTTTCTTCTTTCTACCACCTGCATCAACACAGTACACATGTCACCCAAGGAAGGGAGGATGGAGACAGCAGCCACTCCACCTCCCTGCCTCCTGCAAAGATGAGCAGGGGCGCAAACACTCTGACCAATGTATGTCTGGTATTTGTTGGCTTTTGCAGGAAATGCGGTGTATGTAAAGTGAATCTCCTTTTATTTGGGGTGTTAGTCATCAGGTGTGCGGGAGTAGAAAATGCTTGACCTATTAAAATAATAAGTATACAGGGACTTCCCTGGCAGTCCAGTGGTTAAGACTCCACACTTCCACTGCAGGGGGCGCAGGTTCGATCCCTCCCCGGGGAACTAAGATCCCGCATGCTGCTCGGCGTGGCCCAAAGGAAAACAAAAAAGTAAGTATACAAGTTAATTTCTTCCCAAACTACTTCCAAGCTTCTTTGATTTAACTCAGCACAGGACCCCAGGTCACACCAGGCACACCCGAGAACTTGAAAATAAATGCTTTGCTGGTGGTGATGACTCCCTCGCGGTCTCTCAGAAGAAAGGCATTAAAGCCCAAGAAAGGCTTTAGGACTCAGTGTTTATTTTTATGGAACTAGATTCAATCAGGGTAGTCATTTAATGAGTTCAGAGAATAACTGAAATGACTTTGGGCTAGAATGTCACTGCCCTACTATCGTATTAAGAGATGAACATTTTCTGCCTTTTATGGACTGGAGATAAACTGTCTCCCACCAGTTATTAGTTTGAGATTACAATCAGCTCCGCAAAAAGCGGTGCTCCAAATAAAGCTACCTAAACTCTTCCTTAACAGCACAATCTCACCATCCGCGAAGCTTTCATGCTTACGACAAGTCCTGAGAGCACTTCTCGAAGCCCCGATTCTGCCCTAGGTTACCTGTGCACCTGGAGCCAAGCCGGGCCCTGAGTGTCTGGAATTCATCCTCCGCATTGCACCTGTACCCCTGGGGGCTGAAGTGCTGATTCCAGAGCTCCATCACGGGCAGGGCAGAGGATGAAACTTTCCCTCCACAGGTCGTCTGCTCGATGCCCAGTACCCGCTTGACCGGCTTCCTCCTCTGGCTTAGACGGGAAACCGTAGAACCACGTCTGGCAGGTTGCTCTGGAACTCTCCTAGCAGGGCAGCGTTAAGAACGGTGGTTTTTCACATTCCTCACAACCAGCAGAGGGAGTGAAGGTTCACAAGTCAACTGGAACAAAATAGAGACTGTCTTTTAAATTCTCGTTGATCAAAATAAAATCTGCTGGCTGTGTCTGGGTGGAGAAGTGTGACCTGTGTGGTATAGGTGCTGGCGGCCTGCTGATGTTTTGCTGGGTGAGGGTCCAAATGTAAAAGTCACAAGGGGAAAGAGATAAAGTCCAAGAGGAGGCAAAGGGGCCCGCGGTGGCGGCGAAGAACAAGGGATCGGGGCCGCGGGGAACAGAACAGAACACGGGACCCCTAGTTTATCGTTTCCAGTCATTCCCCCGAAAGCAGGCTGGGAGATAATCGATAAGCTTTCAAGAAGAAGAAAAACAGATTAACCAGCCGTGTTCTGGGTCCACCACCACCACCAATTCTTCCCTCCAGCTAGCTCGCCTCCATCCCCGCCACCCATCGGCTCAGCTACTTTTCCGGGAGAGAACGTGCCCTCATCCCAGAGCCGGAGCTGAACCTTTCACGCAGGTTACAGCAGCAGCCCACCATCACCTCGCTGACCTCCCGATCAGAGGCTGCCTTCTCATTCTACTCCGGCCCCACTGGCTTCCTGGCCATTCCTCAAAGGAGTCAAGTTTGTTCCCACCTCAGGGTCTTTGCACTTGCTGTTCCCTCTGCCTAGAACATCACTCCTTGAGGTACCTGCAAGGCTCATTCCCTCTTCTGTTTGCCTCACCAATGTTAATTTCCTTGACGACCTTATTTCAATTGCAACCCATCCCGTTTCCACTGTCCCTCCTGCTTTATTTTTCCTCATCTACATACCCTATTGTATGTCTTACTCTTTGTTTCCTGTCCTCCTAAATGCAGGGATTTCTGTCATTTCCTCACTGCTGCTGGATAAATGAATATGTGAGTGAATGAATGAATAAAAGAGTGAATGAGTTGGAAATTCAGTTATATATGCAGCATTCCAAGAAAGAAATGCAAGTATTTTCTAATGAAAGAGACATTATGTGCACATTGGGATTCTTTCAGCTTTACCTAAAAATGACTTGTTTCAATCACTAGCATCCGTGTTGCTATATGGATTGAAGTTCTAATTATTTGGCTCTTAGAACAAGTATATTCATAACTTTACCATATTGTCACAAATATCAGTTCCTCAGTAAGATAATGCTCTAGTCACCTCCTTCTACCATAACGTCTAATTACCTCTCTTGGGGTCTCACATTTCTTTGTGAAAAGCTAACATAGCTGATATATAACACTCATTCACAGTCTTTGTATGTTTGGTATGTGTGACCAAATGCCTTTTAATATGTTCCATACTGATATTACATGAATATTAGTGAATAGTCTAGTATAAATGTCTATGAGACCGCTTAAGTAAATATGTGTTTAGTTGGTTATGTTTTATGCATATTTAGAATTCGTTTGCATTATCCAACTTCACATGTATTATTTACCTAGTGGGAATACTCAGCTTTCTGCCACTCTATTTTATCCTATGTACAAATTCACGTATGTTTTACAATATGCATAACGCTTCCACTAAATCATCCTGATGTTTGGTATATTTATCATATTTTATGAGGTGCTTATCTACAGCTAGGCGTTTACTTAATCACTCATTTTTTGTTTGTTTTCTTTTTGCTTTTCCTCACTGTAGACAAGTATCTGTTGGAAAAAAAAAAACAATTTGTGAGAGTCCCCAGAAAGCGAGTAAGCTCCACAAAGAAACTTTCATAGCAGATTTCCTGAAGAAAAACTTAATGTGTCAAAAGTAAGTAAAGCATAATTAATTTCTTGAAAGTTTTGTTTCCTTCTCCAGCTCATAAAAAGAAACCTCTCTTGAATAGCGGTCAGAGTGAAATCTAATTGCATGATATTTATTATTTCATTCTCAATTTTAATTGCTGCAATTAAAATAGTTAAGTGTTTAATGGCTTTCCACTTCACATTTTAAAAATCTGGTCATTTATCTGAAAAGGTTAAATCTGAAGAACTAAAATTGAGAATAATTTAGAAGCTAAGGGCAGGGGCGGGGGGGGGTGGATGAATAATTTGGTTACTTTTTCCTGTTCAATCAGCGCCTCACGAGAGTTTAGGAATAATTCTATTTATTTGTCTTTCTTATGTGAAGCTAACATAGGTGACCTAACGCAGGCCCTTATATCCAACTAGTTTGCTGGCTTGTTTGCAGACTATTTGATTATGTTCTTGATTTTTTTCATTAAAACCTTTATAAAGGCTAAGTGGCAATTTCATGTTGGAGAAATAAAGCAGTGAAAATTACTGTCACATATCTATCACCTAAGTGGAGTACTCGGGACGCCGTGCTTCAGTACCACAGCTTAGTATGTCAATGCTGTCAAATAATGTAAAAATCTTTTAATAGATACTTTGGACAGGAATTTCTCTGCTATGTTTAACCTAGAGGAATACACGTGATTGCAATTTAAATTGCAGGAAAAAAGAATTTTTTTTGTTTTTTTTTTGGCTGCGCAGTGCGGCTTGAGGGATCTTAGTTCCCTGACCAGGGATCGAACCTGGGCCCGGCAGTGAAAGCACCAAGTACTAACCACTGGACCACCAGGGAATTCTGCAGAAAATTTTTGTATCTGTTTGGAATTCAAAGGAATTTATTTTGATGGATTGATTCTCTGCCTTAGAAGAGAGATATTTAGAATGTTTTCAGTTTTATTTAGAAGTTGCCAAAAGAGAGAGGTCTTGTGTACCCTTCACCCAGTTTCTCCCGTGGAAAAATCTTAGATAATTATAATACTTTAATAGATTTTAAAAGTGAAGATACTTTTGATAGGCCTGTGCCTTCTGAGGCAGGACAGTTATAATGACACAGAATCAAGCCCACGAATTATCTCTGAGAACCAGAAACCAAATGCCATGATTCTTGGGGCAGCCCCAAGAATTCAGCTGCAATGCTCTGTATTTCCATCTGGTTTACTTAAATGAGTCCAGCCTATAATTTGACCTATTAGCAAAAGAGAAAAGCAGAAAGAATAAAGCAGAAAGGAACACACCTTCCCCACCCCCTTCCCACCCATATCTGTTCCCCTTGCCAAAAACAGTATTACTGGAGAGATGTTTACGAAACCTGTGACTTCTCAGGCTTATTCAGCTTTGTAAGTTTTGGGGGTCTTGTTCTCACTGTCATTCAGAATGGACACTCCAGGAGGATGAGAACCAAGTCTGTCACAGATCTGTCCATCACCTAACCATTGTTTTGAATTTTATAGTCAAGTATTATGTAGCCATTTCTCTATTAAAGACTGCAGATTAAAAAAGAATCTCCTGTTTTTCTTGAATAGAGTAGAAAGAGTTATTCTATCTGAAAAGATGGATTCTACCTTGTCTGATGAATTGCTGGGGGAAAAATAAAGTTGATTCAAAAGTAGACTTGCTGCCCTCTTTTATTTTTTCTCTTTGGTTCTGAGTCCAAGAACCTTTAACCTTTCTAGTCTCTTGGAATGCATTTTGTCTCTTGTCTCATTCTGTACGTAATCCCCTTGGGTAGTTCCCTCCAGGCTTCAGCGTCAGACATGATATCAAAACCTTGTGACTAGAGCAATTAAAAACAAGGTAATCTCAAGGAAATATAAATTAAAATACATTCAATATATATCCACCAGAATGGCTAAAATGAAAAAGACAGAAAATGCCAAATATTAGTGAGGAAGTAGAACATTTGGAACTCTCTTATATTGCTGGTGTGAGTATGAGTACATACAACCACTCTGGAAGGTGGCTTATCTACTAAATCTGAACATTAGCACATCCTATGACCCAGAAAGTCTACTTCCAGCTTTATATCCAACAGGAGTGTGTGTGTGTATACTTTCACCAAAAGAGATATACTAGAATGTTCATAACAGATGGTTCACAATAGCCCTCACCCCTTCCTCCAGAAGGGAAACTATTCAATTGCCTATCAGCAGCAGAGTGAATAGATGGTGTTGTATTCATCAGTGGAACACGGCACAGCAGCAAGAATGAACAGACACAGTGTATGATAAATGCGGATGAATCTCATAAACAAGATGAAGAATGAAAGGAACCAGACCCAAAATAAGACGTCGTGTATAATTCCATTTACATAAAGTATAGAAACAAGCAAAACAGGAGACCAGCTATTCTCGGTGAGGAGGGTTAGTGAGAGGAAGGGGCCACAAGGAGACCTTCCAGCGGCTGGTCATGTTCTGTTTTCTGATCTGGGTACCAGTTACACAGGGGTGCTCAGTTTGTAAAAGTTCATCTTCTTATACACTTTACTTCTCCAAGAATATCACCCTTGAATAAAAAGTTAAAAAATAAAAATAAAAACAAGGTGTCGTCACCTGCTGGCTTCCTCTGGTTTCTAGCCCTCCTTCAGACTGGCGCCCACCCTTCTCCTACTTCCGTTATGCACGGAGCAGGTGCAGCTCAGTGCTTGTTTTTTTCTTCCAATTGCTGTTCCCCTGCTCAACGTGACCATCTGTTGGCTGGAGAAGAGGGCAGGGCCACTGGGAAAGCAACAGGGAAGGGGAGCAGGGACCTTCCCTGCCCAAGTGGGAAGGTCTCCCCCCCACCCTCCAAAGAGTTATGCAGACCTGACAAGGAAATAGAAAAGTCCTTCTGCATGTAAGGTTTAAAATCTTGTTTATGAGAATCTGCTTCAAAATGAAATTCCCCCCAGTGTAAGTCACTTATCCCGGTTCAAAGGCTGAAAATAATCTTTACTAAAAAAGTCATTTAAAGTCTCCTTAAAATACATCTTTTAACTCTTTAACCATTTCAGCAACACCATCTCTCTTTTCCTTTGTTTTCTCCTTCTCTCTTTAAAAATTATACTTTTAAAATTATTTTTCTCCATGTCTTTTCAGGCATAACAATTTTAAGAAGTCTCCCATTTTCCTTTAAAGCAGTGACTGCAGACAGAACAATTGAAAGTCCTTTACCCTGGTACAAAGTAGTCGCTTGTAAAGGATTTTCCAGCTTCATTTGCCTGGGAGAAGCCCCTTCCCCTCCAATTTTTGTAACAGTTCTGTATCTTTTCTCTGTGACCTTGGCAGTAATGGCAACTTTTTAACACATATTCAGCCAATATTTCTTTTCTGAGCACCTCCTTGGGACCGGGCACCATTGTAAGTACTGAGGACATAGTGGTGACAAAAGAGATAATTAAGCAGAGCTTACATTGTAATTGGGATGAGTGGAAATAAACAGGTAATTGACAAAAAGAAATATACTATCAGAAGGAAATTGGGATCATGAAGAAATGGAATCAGAATGATACTAAAAATCATATGTGGGCAGGGACCAGAGACTCCTTGAAATGGGTGCAGAGGGAAGGCCTCCTTGAGCATGGAATGCCTGGGTTGAGTCCTAGGTGACAAGAAAGAGCAGCCATGAGAAGATTATATTTGAGAGAGCATGAGAAACAGGCTGCAGAGAACATCAACTAGCTGCCTCCTTCAGACCAGCCATTTCCCCCAAATACAGACGCTAGAGCATATTGTCTTGTTGACTACTTTCCAAGGAGAGAATTTTGCAATTTTATGTCCATATCTATATTTATATAGATCTATATAAATACAAATATATATGTAAATCCATGAAAATACTTCTGAGAGACCAAGATTTAAAATAAGTTAAATTTAAGGAAAATATGGGCATAAGATATGAGATAATAAAAAAGTTAAAATAACTTTATTTGGTTAATACTCTATTCCTATATTAAATGAACAGAAAACTTGTTACCATTTATAATTTTAGGTACCTATACATAAATACATAGAAAGTTATAAGCTATCTCAGTTCTATTAACTAAGGAGAGTTCTTGAGGGCTATATCTGGATAAAAATACAAATTCATGAACTGGTAATTTTTATAGTTCCCCATCACAAGCAATAACTCAGGGGATCTACATGGGGCATCTGGTAATCAAACTAAACATTCCCAGTTCCAGATGCAAGACATAATTAATTGGCTAACTGCCTTAAAATGTTAGGCCTTAATGTTTATTAAAAATAGATGATGAAAAAAAAGAAAAAAGTTTAAAATTGTTTTTCATTTTTTCTGAAAAATATCTTTATTATCACTATCTTTAGCAAATTTGATTTTAAAATCACTTACTTTCTCCAAGTTTTGAGGTGGAGAAAATACAATACCGTAGTATCATGGGGAGGGGGAGAATTTCAATATTGGCCAAGAGAATTTTGAAGCAGTGAACTGGGATAAGAAAGGAAGTGAGGGGTGAGTGAAGGTCTCAAGTCAAATGGGGCAGAAGAAAGGACCCAAGTAGTTGTGACAAATAGAGGGAGGACAGCTGCTGACCAGCCTGGTGACCTTATTTATTATATGCAGAGGAGAGCTGGCCAATGACTGAAAGGAAGAAAACCATATCCTCCCTTGGGGACAAGGTATAAAGATCAAGGGATCTGTGAAGTCTTGTGTGTCTCACAATGATGATGACGGTGATAATGACCCAGCAGTCCCTAGAGTGTGACACCACAGTGAAGGGGAGGAAAAACATACCCACAAGGAAATGAGGAGCATTTTGCAGTAGATGGAAAGGCTTCATTTGATTTCAAACACTTTTGAAAGGAACCCACGCCTCTCCCAGATTAGAATTGTCTCCCTTCCTGTCACATCCCTTGAGTAGAACAAAATTTAGGGAATGTCCATAGGGTTAAGATTCTTTGTATTAGGGAATGGGGGGGCACCCATGCACTGGCAGCTTTTCCCTTCCTCCTGTGAAAATGTACCATATCCCTCTCTTAATAA